TGAATGAGAGTGATGGACATGTGAGAAAAAAGTATACTGTCTACAGTTAGGATGAAGAGATCGCCATGCATCACAAAGCCCATAATCACTCATGTACTGTTTAACCATATTAGTAGAGTCCCAGCTGTACTGAGCCTGTCTGTTAAAGTGTCCATCCAAAAATTAAAATCACCTCCAAGTATAACTGGACAGTCTAAGTGTTCGGAGAGTACAGAGAAAAAATTATGAAAGAATGAAGGGTCATCAATATTTGGACAGTATATGCTGACAATACATAAGCTTTGGTTCTGTACAGATATTTTTAACATTATACATCTACCCTCTGGATCAGAGACTGTCCAATACTGTGAAATTGGTGTTTTTGTGTATTAAAATAGCTACACCTCTTTGCCTAGAGTTATAGCAGGCGGAGAAAATGCTGGGAAACTCAGGTGTTTTAAGTTCATCTGCAGATGTGGCAGATCTATGAGTCTCTTGTAACAATATTACATCTGCTTGCACTCTCTTTAGCTGATCAAAAATCTTTATTCTTTTCTCTATGGAGTCAGCTCCATGTATGTTCCATGAAACAAACTTTAGTGCACCCATAGATGTGTGTGTGAGTGGCTAGAATATGACACCGTCATGTGAATAAGATGGAAAAAGTACTTAAATGTATAAAATAATGTTAATAAATAACAGAAAAATAAATAAGAATAATAATAATAAAGACCCAACAGTGTTTGTGGCTGTATTATGAGATGCATAAATTGTGATATTGTGCTGTATATTTAATGTGTGTGTGTGTGTGTGTGTGTGTGTGTGTGTGTGTGTGTGTGTGTGTGTGTGTGTGTGTGTGTGTGTGTGTGTGTGTGTGTGTGTGAAGTGTGAAGCTTGGTTCATGCGTGCGCGCAGTGTTGGACAGTTGCGTGGTTGTGCCATACAGATGTAAGGTGCAGAAGCAGATAAAAAGAGGAAAGGAAAGAATTATAAAGGTTGAAGAAGAAGAAAGAACTAAAAAGAAAAGGTGATAGGGGTGTGAGGTGGTGATGAACAGGTGATCTCATCATCAAGAACACGGATTTAGCAGCTGTTTAACCCTGACGTGATCAAACCCAGTGAATCCTGATAAGAATAATAAATGTCTGACCTGATGTTGGGCTAATACAGCCAGTCAGTCACTCCTCGCTCCTTGTAAAGTTTATTGTCCACGTAAAGTTTATCCACCGAGATGACAGCCCTCTTCCCATCCTGTTTAAACTTTTTGCGCAGCGGAAAGCGGACTCGGCGCCGATCCAGGATTTCCTTAGGCAACTGGTCATTTACGCTGAAGTCTTTTCCTTTGAGCTCTCTTCCGTGACTTTTAACAAGATCCTTCTGCTTAAAATGTTCAAATTTAGCCACGATGGGACGAGGTCTTCTGCTGTCCACTCTTCTAGCTCCAAGGCGATGTGGTGAAAGGTGATGTTTTTTACCGTTTCTTCAGGTATCTTCATTTCGGTCTGGAGAAAGTTCTTGATTGTTTGCTCACAGTTCTCCGCCCCTCCTGTCTGCTCTGGCAAACCTGCGAACACCAAATTATCCCTCATGTTACAGGCCTGAAGGTCCAAAACCGTCTCTTTGAGAATCTTGTTGTCCTGTGTGATCCGCTTCACTCCCTCTTCCAGGGAAGAAACTGACTCCCGCAGAGACGCGTTCTCAGCAGCGAGCTGCTGCACCTGCTTCTGGCTGAACTCCAGAGTAGGGTTGTCACGGTGTGAAAATTTAACCTCACGGTTATTGTGACCAAAATTATCATGGTTTTCGGTATTATCGCGGTATTTTTTTTAAACGTGTTACATATTCAGTCAACTAAATAAACCCTGTATATCGGGAAAATATTGTCCTCAGTTTGTGTCTAAATTTTGCCTAAAATTTTATATTTTGTAATTATGTTGTTTATTTGTTTACATTTTTCCCCTTTAGTCATTAAAATACCAATATTTGCCCTAACTTCTTATTTTATGTCTGCTTGATGTCATCATTTTAAAAATATTAGATCAGATGATACTCAGTACTCAAGTAGCCTTCTAATCAGATACTTTTTTACCCTTACTTGAGTAATAAACCCTATATCAGGAAAATATCGTCCTCGGTTTGTGTCCTTCCAGTGAGCTTTGCAGATGTGGGGAAATGTCATCAGGCAGTAATCATTGTTAAATTCATAATTATTCTCGGAGAGAGACAAACTCTTATCTGCCCCTGGGAGCCCCGTAATGCATAGCGTCATTTCAACATGGGGGTGTCCGCGACACGGTTTATATGCAGGTAGCGGCACTGCGGCTGCTTTATATAGCGGCTCGTTGCATTCTCCCTCAACCCAAATCCTCGGATCACGCATTTTAGCTAAAATGCTAACGTTAGCTTGCCTTGCGTTGACTGTAGAGTTGTGGGTGATGGTCACGCAGATGTGTCATGAGATTTGAAGCGTTGCAGCCTTTCACAGGCACGTTTTCTGCACTTGCTGCAAACAGGACATCCATCTTCTATCAACTGTCCCTCGGCATTCTTCAAATATCCAAAAGATGCCCGTACTTCCCACTTTGTCTTCTTTGAGGGATAATAAATGTCCATAGCGCTGCCATCTCCTCCTTTGGCCATTATTTCAGCTTTAGCTTCAAGAAAGTTTTGGCTGTAAACAACAAAGTGTACATGTGCCGCCGGCAACTTCAGCAGATGATACGGTGGCTGGTAAGGGTCACCGCGCCTACACCGCAGCCACGGTAAACCCACCGAGATAATATATTTTTTTTTACAAACAAGACTGTTATTATTATTGTCAACGTTTTTACTGTGGTTTACCGCTACACCGGTTACCGTGACAACCCTACTCCAGAGATGTTCGGAGGTTCTGGAACTCCTGGTGTAGAACCTCAAGCAGGTCGAGTCGCCCCTCAAATCCCGAAAGCCGTTTGTCTATAGAATCTAATCATTCTAATATGTCCTTACGGGGAGATGAGGCCTCAGGTGAGTCCTGAGGACGGCTCCTCTTGGTTCCAGGTGTTTCCATCTCAGCTGCTGATTTCTTCAGACCCATAACACAGAACTCAAAAACTTCATCAATATAGTTTTGTCAGCTTTCTAAATTTTCTTCACTTACCTCCAGGTTGAGTGAGTTATACTTAACAGATTATTTTTTGCGTTGTCAGTAAATAAATTGGGTGAAAATGTGTCTTAATTGTTAGTGGATGTTTGTTAACGAGCTGCCATCAGCTTCAAACGCTGCTGTGTCTGGTCATCGGCCATCAGCGCATGTGCATCCTCAACCGCCGAAATGGTACAAAGTTAAGTGGTAAACTGCCAGAGATTAAAAAAAAAAGGTTAGGTTACTGAAAACTAGCTTCTGCAGCAATAGAGGTTGATCAAGCCTTGAAAGCTGGTGCTACTAATTCCCACAGGTGTTCCAACATTTCTGGATTACTTTCAATCCCCTCAGTCTGCATAAAAGCTGAGATGTAAAAAACTGTGGTACCATACCCTTGTGCACATCAGTTGAACAGTATGGTACTGCAGATAATAGTGTGTTGCTACAAAAATAGTGAGAAAAAGGCAATTAACAACGGAAGAGAGACGGACCATCATAACACTTAAAAATTTAGGTCTTTCCTACAGAGGAATTGCAAAGAAAGTCAGTGTGTCAGTGAGTACTTCCTTCACCATCAAAAGGCACTCAGAAACTGGGGTAAACTCTGAAAGGAAGAGGTCTGGCAGACCCAAAGCCACAACTGCATCAGAGGACAAGTTTCTGAGAGTTAACAGCTTGCGTGATAGGCGGCTCACAGGACGACAGCTTCAATCACAGCTTAATAGTGGTCGTAGTAAGCAAGTCTCAGTTTCAGCTGTGAAGAGAAGACTTTGAGCTGCAGGTTTAACAGGATGAGTTGCAGCAAGAAAGCCAGTGCTAAGATGTCAGAATTAGAGAAAGAGGCTTGCCTGGGCCATGAAACACCACCGTTGGACTACTGAAGACTGGAAGACGGTATTATGGACTGATCAATCCAAATTTGAAATCTTCAGTTCATCACGCAAGATCTTTGTATGCCGTCGAAAGGATGGTTCCACAGTGTGTGGCATCAACTGTCAAACATGGAGGAGGAAGTGTGATGGTCTCGGGCTGATTTGCTGGATCCAGGGTTGGTGACTTGTACAGAGAGAGAGGCACCCTGAACCAAAATGGCTACCACAGCATTCTCCAGCGCCATGCAGTACCCTCTGGTATGCATCTAGTTGGTTAGGGCTTCATCCTACAGCATGATAATGACCCAAAATATAAGTCCAAGCTATGCCAGAACTACCTCAGGAAAAAAGAACAAGATGGTAAGCTTGAAAACATGGAGTGGCCAGCACAGTCTCCAGACCCAAACCCCATCGAGCTGGTTTGGGATGAACTGGACAGAAGAGTGAAAGCAAAGCAGCCTACAAGTGCAAAACATTTATGGGGACTTCTGCAGCAAATATGGGAAGAACTTTCTGAAGAATATTTTATGTTTATTGTAGAAAGAATGCCACGAATGCGTTCAGCTGTTATATCTGCGGTGGCTACTTTGATGAGTCAAAAGTTTAGAATACATTTTGGTCTATAAATTGATTCCATGATTCATTTTTTAACTCCCAATTTCTGATTTGTACTAAGCTTTCATTTCAGAGAGCAATGTAACATCAAACTGCATAATTTCCAATAAAAAAAACTGGAAAAATCGGGGTGTTGTAAAACATATACACACACATATATATACACACGCACACAGACACACACGTATTGGTAATTGGCCATAAGAGTGTTATTAATATTGGCCCAAAAGATTCATATTGGTGCATCCCTAATATTCATAGCAATACTATGCTAGGACGATTTGCCTTTGCAGCTTTAATTGAGCCAAGCCAGCGTATGCTTTGTACAACACATTCAGAACACCTTATCACCGTAAAATAAATGCCTTTACATTGTTTTTAGTCTCTTTTTTTTCCTCATGTATTTTTAGGGTTGAAGATCTGCTAAACTTCCTCCTAACGGTGAATCAGCAGTGCTGCTACCTGACAGAAACCCTTCAGGATGTTGCCAACCGTTTCCCTCGTCAGACCTCTCAGGTGCGTGGTGTCTTCACTGCTTCACTTGTTGGTCAGAGTGTAGCTGATGCTACGGCCTGGCTCTTGTTTGTATGTTTTTTAACTGAAGAAGATTGACTTTTTTGTGTGTGTCTGGTTTTCTGAGCAGCTGGTCTTCTTTCTGGACCCTAAAAAGGAAGCTCAGATGGCCTGTAACCAGCTGGTTCTTCAAACCAACAACCTGCATAAGGAAGTCATCTGCCTCCGCAATCTGCTGCTCCAGGTACACACACACCTGTTGTGGAACTCCTGCTTGTGACACCTGTGGTCACCTGTTACACACTGGTTTGTTTTAAAAACAGCTTGGTTTGTTCAATTCTGAGTCATGAAGCTAGTTAAAGGCCTCATTATAATTACTGATATTAACTCTGAAAGCACCAGAAACACGGATGTGAAGTAAGGAAATGTAAATTCAGCCTGCCTTAATCCATCTAAGCACCCATCATGCCCGTGACCTAGAGATTCTTAACGTGACTAAACTGATGTGTGTGTTCGGAGTTTTGATCACATGAAACCTGGCGAGCTCCAACAGGTATGTGCAGGAGTTGTAGCATGTGTGCACTTGACTGACTCTCTCTCTCTCTCTCTCTCTCTCTCTCTCTCTCTCTCTCTCTCTCTCTCTCTCTCTCTCTTTCTCTCTCTCTCTCTCTCTCTCTCTCTCTCTCTCTCTCTCTCTCTCTGTACGCGTGTGTGTGTGTACACACGTGTACGTGCACACGTTTGTATTCCAACAAGAGTCAGTTGTTCCTGGCAGGGCAGAGTCCTCACAGCCCATAAGTCAGCTCTGCTGTGACATGGAGCTGTCAGCACACAGACACTGAGGCGGAGGGATGAGGGGCTGATGGGAAGGCAAGGGCAGGGGTGAGGGAGTTTTAGAGGGGAGAAAGGGCTGTTGGGTGAAGTTGGTGGTTCAGTGTGAGTAGGATCAGATAGGAATTTAAATCTGATAACAAATGGACCCTCTTTCTCATCCCCAGCATCAGTCACACATGTGCTTACATACAATATTAAATGTTATTGATAAAATCCAGTCACAGCCAGACTGCACTTCACAGTAAGTCAACCATTTATTTAATTACAATTACAACCCTCTCTGGGGTTTGTTGAACCATCAGACTGGTGGTGCCTGTTGGTGTTGCAGACAAAGGCACGCACCAGGTCCTCTGCATCACTGTGAGACAGGAACATCCTTATATTTGCTGTTCAGGTGAACGTAAACTTGACCCCTGTAGTTCTGGTGTCTGTCGCTGCCACCTAGTGATGGTGGAAGATTGAGCCAACTGAATCAGAGGTTTTACAGGACGTTATTAGTGGAGCCTGCCTTCCACCGGTTCATGATGTGCGTCAGGTTTGATTATCAATAAAGTTATGAAGTACAGCAGAGGTCAGCTTCACGTTGGCTTTGTGGAGTTCTGCCTTTATTCAGACGGTTTTAGAGCTGATAGTTACAAACCCAACATCTTATTAACAATAGATGTTGGGTTTGGTTTGTTTGGACGCTATGGCTTTAATCCATAGTGTGTAGAACATGGTGGGTCAGTCTAAAGTCTCTTATCTACATGCTAAAGCTTCTGTGTTGTATTCAGTAACAAAAACATTCTTCTAATGACTGTCAAATATTTTACATGTTTCCTGTAACTATTTTAAATTTTAGAAAACGTTGAAAGTTTCTCTTAAAATGCATAAAAACCCAAATCTGACTAGTAAACTTAATGTGAAATTTTCAGTGTTTGCTCTTTGTTGTGAAAGTCCAGTTGCAGCTTGCAGGAGTGTGTATGGCCATTCTCTTCATATTGGACGAGCACCAACTTCATATATATGTACAGTGCCCAAGAAGGTTCAAACAAATAAAAATCCACAACATGACATCAGAAGCTGCTATGGAAGTAAAACAAATAAGAGTGGATATTTAGTGCATTAATTATGATTAATTAATTAAAAAAATTAATGTGGGGGCCAAAAACATTTATCAATATTTATGCCCTATATCAATAATTATCATACTGCTCCCTCTAAAAAACTGCAAAGCATGGGCTACAAGACCGTTTTACCTCTTTTCTTACGTGCCCCAAACACAACTAAAACTACAATTAAATGACAGAAAAGGTTTCTTTTTACCTTGCTGACAGTTTCGTTCACGGCTGCAAACTTCCTCAGAACGGACGCTGAAGTTTGCAGCCGCGACTGAAATGGTCAGCAAGGTAAAAAGAAACCTTTTCTGTGTTTTAAAAAAGAACCAACAATGCAGTTAGAAAAGCAACACAGCAAGAACGTACCAATTATACAATTAAATTAATCATGACAAATCGCTCTTCGTGAAGAAAAGAAAGAAAAATTGTTAAGTTTTGTAGTTGGTAGAAAGCAGGCCGTACCTTTATCCATATAAACTTTATTACAGCAGGAAGGGACGAGCATACACACGGCATTCATCCTGTAATCCTCAACAGAAATTCCCCTGAACTCCAAACTGCACCTCTATCTATATTAGCAATATTCTGCTGCCACCTGGTGTTCAGTTCAGTACACAACATTCCTAATGTTCTATGTCCCCTTAAGGTTGGTTTATGCTTGACGCGTCCGCGAGGTCCGCACGGCTCCGCGCGGAAAAGTTGCGTCATTTTAACAACCACGCCCCTCCACCGCGTCTCCGCACAGCCCAAGATTTCCACAACGCGCACCTCGGAAAATTTCTAACCACGCGGACGGTCGGACGCGGAAAAACATGGCGGACCGGCATGGCAGAGGTTCATAAATACAGACATTTGTATGATTCAGCTCTCAGAGATCACCGTGATCAACATGTTGTTAATAATTCTTGGAGAGAAATAGCTCGCACTGTCGGAAAAGACGAGAACGTTGTTAAAAATGCTGGAATACCATGTTGTAAACAGTGATTTCTACTTCTACTATGGTGTGGTGTTGGATGCATGCCGTAGAGCTCCATGCTGCCCCGTTCAGTTTGGGAGAATATTGGCTCACCGCAGAGACGAGCCGCACAAACCATAAACGCTGCGAGTTGTGAAGTGCGTTCCAGCCGCGAGCCGCATCACCGCGCGGAAAGTGAATGCGTCAAGCATAAACCAAGCTTTACACTTCATCAATAACACATATACTACTATTTACACAGCCCAACTAATCTCACAGTGGTTACCTTTACAATGACACCAGTTAGACCAAAGTATATAAATAGACCTTGTGGTTACAGAAATATACTTATTAAAAGGTGGGTATGTTTGTGCATCACTAACATTTTTAATGAAAAAGATTGCTTAGGGGTAAATTGCCTTGAATGTTTCAAATGCAATTAATCAAGATTAATTACAAAGTCTCTGATTAACTGGATACATTTTTAAATCGAGTATTACCCCTGGTCACGCAACGACACAAAGGGGCTGGAGAAGACTATGTGTGATTCCAGCAGTTCACGCGATAACAAGCTCCAGAAAAGTCTGTCGACCACCAGCAGGCAAGGTGGGCCAAGTGTCTTGCCCAAAGACACAATAGAAACATCCCTGCTGTGAGCCAGAATGGCTCCTACAACCCTCCAATTACTGAACAATCCACTCTACCTCCCAAGCTAGTGCTGCTGCCAGTTGATGCTTGATGCCCAACCGTAGAGAAGAGGTGAACCATCCTGGAGAGTCTCAGGAGTCGAACCACCGCTCCTGCACGTTGAGCGGGTCCAGCTGAGGAGATTCAGGCATTTAGTCCGGTCCCTCTGAACGCCTACCGAGATGTTGCGGGTATATCCTTCTGGGAAGAGACCCAGGATATGCTGGAGGGATTTCACCAAATGACTGGCTCAGGAGCACCTTTTTACCCTACCTACAGTGGTTCTCAATCCTGGTCCCAGAGGGCCGGTATCCTGCAAGTTTTAGTTGTTTCTTTGCTTCAATATTCAGTGGTTGAATTATCTGTGCAGCAGCTCATCGGGCTCTGTGGAAGCCTGTCAATTACCTTCTAACTGAAATCAGGTGTGTTAAAGCATGGATTAAAGGAAAACCTTCTGGGTACCGGCCCTCTAGGACCAGGATTGAGAACCAGAGTCCAGTCTGGGCTGCTACCCTTGGAACCCGGACCTGGATAAGTGGTCACAGATGAATACGCATACATCCAGCAAACTGGGGATTGTCTCTAGAAATTAAACAAATGGGAAATTAAGATAATATTCTTAAATAGTGTTAAAAGTGTGAGGGCCTCTCCAAATCTCCAGCTCATGGAGACATTTTTGGTAAATCATGAAACAGAAATCACTTGTGTACGTTTTGATTAAAATAAAGACATCTGATTGGATGGTGCCTCTGAGCTACGTTTCCATTCTCTGAAAGTAACGACAGAAATTATTTTAAACAAATCTGTTTTCACCTAAAGCACCAGGTTCCTTAGAGTTAGCAGAGGAAATCACATCGGGATTGTGTTTGCTGGTGTGTGACCCTCACACAAGACCAAGACTGGACGCTCAATTTGGCCAAAGAATCCTTAAGGATTTGATACAGGAAGTTTTAGTGACTCAGGATTACGAGTCATGCTGCGGTGGAGCAGTGGGCCTAGACATGCCGTCACTCTCTAGAATGAGCTAGTGTCACTTTGATACTGCCAACTGGGCAGATATTTCCCACCCAGTTGAGATTCCACTGGTCTGAAACAAACTGATCATTACATGTGCCATAATCTGGCATGCTGGATTGGGTTTAAACGTCCTCTGCTTCCTGTCAGAGGCCAAAAATCACACTTTCTGGCAGGATTTGGTGAGTTTTTAAAGTTGTGTGCATTTCCCATGTCAGCCTGAATTTGTTGTCATTCCTCAGGTGGATGAAGCTACAGACGGCTGTCGGCTTCCTCTGCCTGGCTGTCAGAAAGGCTGGAGATCCATGAGCTGCTTTGCCGCAGGAATGCTCGGAGCTGCCATCCTCGTCCTGATCTGCAGAGCTTCTGGTGGCCGCGGCTGCACACAGATGTTCCAGAACGTCCTCTAATCACACCTGTCCCAACGTTAAAGCCCCTGCTCTCTGGTCCGGTCTTTTAGAAAAGGCTTTTCATGTTCAGGAAAACTTTTATTTTAACCAAAGGCTTTCAACTAATCCTAATCTCAACTCGTTTTAAGTTTTATGGCTTTATTTGTTGTTTCAAGGTATTTATTTGGTTTAGTGTTTCTAAAATACCAGATGATTGATTGTTTTTCTTTAAAACAATAAAAAGTTTTCAAACATGCCCGACTTGATGATCTGACGCTGAAAAACCAAGATCAAATTCATCCAGATTATAGAACAAATCATCAGATTAGAAACAGACTCTTAATTTGTTTAATCAACTAAGGGATTATTTATTAGAAATGGCTCTTATTTGTGTTTAAATGTAATCTGGGTGGGTCAGGGAAAGGCTTAGTGTGGTTCAGAGAGTTCTTCATGGTTCTTTGTTTTTCTAGTTTCCTTCCACGGAGATCATGAGAAATCCAATTTGTTCATTAATCTCATCTGGCCGTGGTCTCAGGACCTCCAGATCCACCAGAACCAGATCAAAGATGGAGGAAATCCCTTTTGACACTTCCACAGATTCCTCCAAAAAACTTCAAACCGGCGGGACATATGATCCAACTGAGATGGACGCGTCACCTTTAGGTGCTGCTGTGGGAGAACCAGGAGGAACCCTTGTTTCTTTCTTCTCCCGCTCCTCCGTTCCTGAGGTGTGGCTGATGAGGTTTGGTTTGTCAGGCTGTAAAATAACAGTGTTATGCATCCACAGTAATTGTACACCTGAGCGTCACTTCGATGTGGAAGCAGGCTTTCTCTGAAGCTGCTGGTTGATTATAAACAGATAAAGGGATCTGTTGGTTTGAGTGATGACTCAGCACAAAATACACCCAGTGTTTCCTGCAGATCCACAGTCTCCATTTGCTCTCTGCTCAAAACTAAACTTGATTGTGTCTGGTGCTTGCTTTAGGAACAGAATCGTCCCTTGTATCTTCTGTTTGCGGGTATTTGTTGAAGCAGTCGCTGTTAGCGGCTCCTGTGCGCACAGGCGCATCGCTGCGGAGCTCCGAGCCTGGCGCGGAGCCAAGCCTGTCTGGTGTCAAACCAGCCTGAACAGATGCTGTGAGACATCTCATTCCTGCACCGGCACCCTGCCCACCCCTGAGCAGAGGAGTCTGGCGCTGACAGCTCATCATCTGCCTTTAAGACGCTCCGCGGAGCCGCAGCCTCCATCCGGCACAACCCCAGCCCAACATGGCTTTTACGCGCAGACGCGGCTCCGTTTGCGCTCCAGCTTTCCTTGATGCTGCGTTTTGATGATATTTCAGTTTCCTGTTTATCCACGGAAATGATCTGTCTAGACCCATAAAGAACCAAAGTCTGGGTAATATGAACTTTTCGCCAAGCGGAATATATTTTTATTTATCTGTAGCAGTCTGCTGGCTCACAGCCAAGGTCGACTCATCCTGGTGGTGAGTATCGCGGCTTCTCTCAAGCAAACTCAGAAATAACCACATAAATAAGCGCGTCCACAGATAGTTTAAGAAGTGTTAAAGTATTGTAAAAACTAACGTTAAGCCTGGCTATTTAACACATGTTAATTTAGCAGCCCTGCGTGTCTAGGACACGGACTGTGAAATATGAAATAACTTCATTTGATCATATCTAACATTTAAACAGCAGCCTTGTTTTTTCCACATTTAGTTGCTGTTTTAGTGTTTACTTATACAATTATGTTGGTCCAAATATTTAAACACAATCTGTATAAATAACCTCACAAATATGTTTAAAATAAACGCTGAGAATCATATCTAAATGGTAAGTGGCCTGTATTTAATATAGCACCTTCTAGAGTCCTGGAACCTCCCAACGCGCTTTACAACACAATCAGTCATTCACCCATTCACACACTGGCTATGTTTGTCCACATATTTAAACATTTTTATAAGTATCAGATTTTTAAATGTTGACTAATATTTAACTTTTAATGTTTAGATTCAATTCTAAATTATCATTGGAAGCTAAATGTCACTTTGGTTCTTGATAATAATTATTTGAGCCGTTACTTTCGTCTCGGTACAGAAGTGTTGTTATTAATAAGAACCTCACCTGGAACGATGTGATGAGATTCCTCCAGAGGTTCTCCTGACTAAGCAGCTGAATTGTTAGACTGATACGTTTACAGGCTGAAGACATCTGATACACTTTAATACCTTTTGATTTGTTGTCCTTTTCTTGATTATTTCACCAAGTCTGCTTCCAAGCTCTTCCTGAGATGCTGTTTGAAGAGCCTAGTTAGTTTTTTTAATCTCCTGATCTCGACTGCCCAGGTTATATTTTAATCAGTAAATTAAAGGAGGCCATAAGGCTAAAGTGTTATTCAACAGCAGATTCCCTGTCTGAAACATCTGGATCTTGTGCATTTGATGACTTTTTCCTTGGTGAGTCACTTCCTGTTGCTCTGCAGGTACATGGGCTCCCAGGTGATGTGCGACAACATCCCTGGCCTGGTGAACAAGCAGCGCCAGCTCTGTCGCCAACACCCCAAAGTCATGCAGGCCATCGGTGCTGGGATGAAGGACTGGATCTCAGAGTGCCAGCACCAGTTCCGCAACCACCGCTGGAACTGCAACACCACAGGCCGGGACCAAAACCTTTTTGGACGTCTGCTCCTACGCAGTGAGTAGAACCCGGTCTAACCTGCTGAACCCCAGGAAAAAGCAAAAACAAGGAAGGGTGGTGAGGATGCAACCTCATGGACTGATTGTAATAAAAGTTTTCCCTGGATGTGCAACTCGTTCCCTTTTTCCACCATGTGCCTGGAATTAAAGCTGTTACAGCGAATCTGCAAACTCGGTCACAGAACACTCACCCCTCCCCTTGGGCATCTTCCCTGAGATGCTTCTGCCAAAACTGGACACCTGCGATGATGAAAGAAATGAGATTGTACTAAACACTAGGGGTTGCATGACTTAATTTTTTTTAAAGTCGACAGTCAAGTAATGAAAATCGAGTCGACTTCGACTAGTCGTTGATGACGTCACACACCTGAAGCGGCCGGGGGGTGTCGGTTTGTTCGCTGGAGTTTTTGACAATTAAAATTGCGCCCACATTTTCAAAGTTAAACACATTTCTTTTAACAATGGTAGTTTCGGCTTCAGCCCAGCCATCCCCCCACCCCCACCCCCCCCACCCCCGCGCAGCGGCCGCAAACTCACTGATGCGCCTGCAGCCTCTCGGTGTTCCTGCTGCTCTAAACATTAAAATAATTATTTCATTTTCTGTTCCTCACTTCTGATTACCTTCAATGGTGTCTGTTTGTTGCAACCACCAGGTACAAAAACTAACTTGTTTTTATTTGACTATTTTTCTGTCCTGTCTCTGTTTATTATCTTCCTGCATCTCCTCTCAATCCTAAAGAAAAACTGCTACCTGGCTTCATATATATTCACCTTATGAGTTACCTTTGAACTGCAGTTCTAAAAGATCTACCGACCGCTAAAACAGCGGAGTGCGCGCTGCTTGGCGGCCGCAGTGCGTCACCGGAGGACAAAACAGGTGATGCGCCCCGCTCCACAGCAGCGGGGTGCATCAGGCACAAATAAAAGAATAAAAGACAGAAAACATAAAAGGAAATGAGCCGACATGAACGATTGCGTGTTTTATTTGTTTTTGAGGTGGTGACACCAGATTTGATAATGTTACTGTGGCCATGCTCAGGACGCAGATGTCTGGAGCGCGTCAACAATCAGAGCTTTGCGTGCGCACGCTGGTTAAGGTTAGGATGGGGGTGAGGGGAAGGTTAAATTGCAAGAGGGTAAAGATCACAATCTGGTTAAATGTCCGTTTTACAGCGGGTGTCAGTACCGACGCTCTGGCACAGCACATTGCCTCCGCCTTGATCCAGACGCGCAGGAGCTCGTCACCTGCTGTCTTTTCCGAGGACTGCATCTTGTCATTATCATGTGACAGCAACTAGTCGATGACAGGCATAAAAAGTCACTACAGAGCAGTGAAGTCAACTAGTCGACTAGTTCATACAACCCCTACTAAACACCCGTCGCTGTCTTCTAAGTTCAAACATCTTTTGTGTTCCGTGACGTCAAATTGTGTTTTTCTTTTTGGGACTCTGGTAGTTTGTCCTAAAGTTGAAGTGGTAGCAGCCGGCTGTTTCTCCTTCTCTGATGTTATTGAGCGGAGAATCTCTCACACCCATGGACGTAATTTTGGGGGGGGACAGGGGGGACATGTCCCCCCCACTTTTTCCAAAGTCAAGTTTTGACCCCTGCACTTTTTACCATCCAAAAACAATATTATGCTATGTTAAATTGACACTGGTTGCGCTCTAGGACCAAGCGGAAAACAACCGTTTGTGTTGAACCCCATTTCCCATTAGAGCATACTGTAAAGATCCCCCCCCCACCCCCACCTTATGTCCCCCCCACTTCTAAAGTGAAAATTACGTCCATGCTCACACCAGTGGTGTTCTGTTGCTAAAATACGAGTGTGTGACGAGTGGAGGATCCAGGGAAGTGCAGTGGTTCTGTGAGACCGACAGTCGGATGGTCCAGTGGTTGCTTTAAGGTCTGAAATGTGTTATTGGTGGAGGTTTTCAGAAGAATGTGAGAGAACCAATTTATTATTATTTTTAATCTCCACAATAGCTTATAACAATATATTTGTATAGGTTAGAACGTTGTTAACAGGCATGAAAATAATGTTTTATGCTGTTTCAGCTTTACTGACACAAATCTAAATAAGTGGTTGATTTTCCCGGGCTTGGCTAATTTCACTGGCTCTGAAACAGATAGTTCCCTCTCAGAAACGTTGTTTTCTCTCCACAGAGGTTGGATCACATTCCACACCTCTTCTCACTTTACACACGCACATTCATCACATCAGGACAGCCGAGCAGCTTCGCTGTTCTCCTGTCAGACTGTATTATCTTAGCTGACTGGTAGAATGCACTAGATGGGTCATGAAGTCAGATTAGACAATCAATTAGCACATGGTTCCAGAGCTTTGTGGGGATTTCAGCAACTCTGAGAATAAGATGTCATTTTCCCATCTGTAACGACTCCAGTGAGCTCATTCAGGTGAGAAATGTCAGAAAACGGCCCTTTCTTTAGTCAAACAGGAGTAATCCCAGTCTGTCTGGAGTTGATCCTGTCTGCTGATTAGCCGCAGACTCGTGATTTATTAACAGTGGAGAGAGGATCGGGGGAACAGTACATGTTAAAGTGTGATTAGCAGCATTAGGGGCTGAAGGGATTAGCAGCCTCTCACTACCTGTGACAGATGTGACACTGGGAAGCGTGTTGCCACAGACCGCAGCAGCTGGAGTTGGGGTTTCTGCAGTGAGAGCATGTTGAAGCAGGTCTGAATCAGATTTTTCTTCCTGCTGGAGAGAGGATCACCAGGACGTTCTAATGTTCCTCTCCCATGCCCTGAAACTTAACCTACAAGTTAGATCCTTGGACTTAGTCTGTTTCATGTTGGGGCCTCTAATCAGCCGTGTGGTATTTGGACCTCCCAGCCGGGCCCCGACCGTGTCACGCAGCATTATCACAGACCGTCCAGTCGGTTTCAGAAGCTCCTTATTGTCAATGTCAGAAGGCTCATTTCCACCAATTACACAGGAGTACCCGCTACACACACACACTCATACACACACATGGGCGCCTCCAGAAAATTTTGATAGGGGTGGCCTGATGGGGCCATATACAATTTTGGGGTGGCACACCTGGTGAGCAGCAGAACATGTATTTTTATTCTGATTATTTCTTTACTCATTAATTGTATTTTTTATTGTGTTGTACAATTAAGTCTTGAATAACTAAGATAAGATTTATGGTTTGAGTGAACATTAATATGATTTATTAACACTGGCTTTTCCTGGGAGGGCCAGCAATATTGTTTTTAATCCCATTTTTCATGAGCTGAACGCAAACATCTGAAAATTTGCATACGTGCACAAAACACCCATGACTCTCAAATATTGTTCTGAAATCGGTCTACATGTGTGTTAGTGAGCACTTATCCTTTACCAAGATAATCCGTCCCACTTTACATATGTGGCAGATCAAGGGGCTGATTAGACAGCATGAATAATGTACAGGTGTGCCTTATGCTGCCCACAATAAAAGGCCACCCTGACATGTGCACAGTTTTGCTTTATTGGGGGGGGGGGGGGGGGGGGGGGGTTTGTCAGAAATCTAGCCAGTGTCTGGTGTGGTCACCATTTGCCTCACGCAGGGCAACACATCTCCATCACATAGGGCTGATCAGGTTGTGGATTGTGGTCTGTGGAACGTTGGTCCACTCCTCTTCAATAGCTGTGTGAAGTTGCTGAATATTAGCAGGAACTGGAACACGCTGTCGTATACGTCGATCCAGAGCATCCCAAACATGCTCAATGGGTGACATGTCTGGTGAGTAGGCTGGCCATGCAAGAACGGGGATGTTTTCAGCTTCCAGGAATTGTGCACAGATCGTTGCATTATGAGGCCGTGTGTTATCACGCTGCAACATGAGGTGATGGTTGTGGATGAATGGCACAACAATGGCCCCCAGGATCTCGTCTGTGCATTCAAAATGCGACCAATAAAATGCACCTGTGTTCGTTGTCCATAACATACACCTGCCCATACCTGTACCCTGCTGCCACCATGGGCCACTCGTTCCACATCGTTGACATCAGCAAAGCGCTCACCCACACGGCGTCACACACACACGCAGTCTGCCATCCTAAAGAGTGAAAACCAGGACTCATCTGTGAAAAGATTGCCTCTCCAACGTGCCAAATGCCATCGAATGTGAGTGTTTGCCCACTCAAGTTGGTCACGATGACAGACTGCAGTCAGGTCCAGACCCTGATGAGGACAATGAGCATGCAGATGAGCTTCCCTGAGATGGTTTCTGACAGTTTGTGCAGAAAGTCTCTGGTTATGCAAACTGATTGTTGCTGCAGCTGTCTGGGTGGCTGGTTTCAGGCGAGCCTGGAGGCGAACATGCTGGATGTGAAGGTCCTGGGTTTGTGTGGTTGCACGTGGCCTTCAGTTGTGAGGCCGGTTGGATGTACTGCCAAATTCTCTGAAACACCTTTGGAGACGGCTTATGGTAGCGAAATGAACATTCATTTCACGGGCAACAGCTCTCTTAGACATTCCTGCAGTCAGCATGCCAATTGTATGCTCCCTCAAAGGTTGCCCAGTGAGTCGTGGTGGATGGCTGCTTATACTGAGCCAGGATCCTCTGGAGGTTTCTTCCTGTTAAAAGGGAGTTTTTCTCTCCACTGTCGCTACATGCTTGCTTAGTATGAGGATTGCTGTAAAGACTCTGACACTAGTCAGTGACTTGATGCAACCTGCTGGGTTCCTTATATAGGAAACTTTTTTCTGATTGGCTTAATGGACTGACCTGGATTGGAATGTTTATTGTGTGAAGTGCCTTGAGACGACTCTTGTCGTGATTTGGCGCTATATAAATAAACTTAAATTGAACTGAATTGCGACATCTGTGGCATGGGCATCGCACCCCACACTTTCTCTATTGTGGAGGTTAAACACCCACACCTTTTCCACAGTTTAGCTCAAAACCCTTCCTTTCAGTCCGGACCCTCTGTGTTTCTCTCGCTGTGTTTGCCCTCTCCCCTTCCCTTTGCTGTTGCTAATTGAAAT